GTTTACGATATGTCTGCTATATATATGTTGTACAAGAAATTATTAATGAACCTTTGATATTGAAAGATATTTTACATCCTCGCAAACCTCCAATATATTTTGTCACAGCACACCCAATATGCTATTGTTTTTCTCCAACCCAAAAACCCATACGTTTCCCCTTCTTGCAATCGCTCGCACGACCACACCGTCCAAAACGTCCCTTCCCCTCCCCTCACGTTTCCCCCAAACACACACACACACTCACACACACACACACACACACACACACACACACACACACACTTTTCACGCACATGAGATTTCTCCCCCCCAACTCGACACGTACACAAACGCACACCGCCACAACCTCCTCTCTACAACCCCCTCACCCCCTCCACATACACCAAACACCTCAACTCTCCCTCCCCCCCCCCTCACAAACCCCCTACCCATCGACAACCAACCCACGGAACCTTCCCCCACCCCCCACCTTACCCTTGTACACCACCGGCTCTCCGTTCCTGAAGAGGGCCAGGGCGGGGATGGTCTTGATGCCGTGTTGGTGGGCGAGGGACGTCTCCTCCGTGGTGACGAAGTGCATGCCGTGGTCGTCCGTGTCGTCGTCGATGTTCTCCAGCTCGTCCAGGATCTTGTCGCATTTTTCGCCTTCCTCGCACTTGCCGCCTGGTTGGGGGAGGGAGAGGGAGAGGGGGGAGGGAGAGGGAAGAGAGAAGGGGGGTAGGTAGTGTCATTATTGTTGCTTGCTGTCGTATTATGGTGCTAATGGATATGCAAATGATGAAAGAAACTAAGGAAAGCAGTTGCAATGCTTGTAATATATAATAACATCAATGAACACTTAAAAAACACGAATAATAATACAAGTAATGAACTAATGATAATAATAATACCAATAATAACGATCATAACAATAATTCAAACAATAACAATAATCAAGAGACTTAAGAAAAAAAAAACGAGAAACAACAACAGACAAAAAAAAAACACTCACAAAGTAATATCAATAACACCCCAACACCAAAATATAACAATAACGATAAAAAACAACAACGACGATCAAATAACAACAACAACACCCCTGAACTCACTGAAATAGACAACGACGTATTCGAAGTTGCCGATGAGGTCGTCCAGGATTTCGTCGGTGACTTCCTCGATAGTGTCTGTGTTCTTCTGCTGCAGCAACCACGCCAGGACTTCTTGCTCGTTGGACAGATCACCTGACGAAGGAAACGGGAAGGTAATTAATGTAATTTCCAGGGTTGGTTTCGATACAGGGGAAACCGAGCTAGTGGGTGGGCTAGTCAGGGAAAGACAGTGCCGGTCCTAAGCCCGAGTAAATAGAGAGGGTTGGCGTCAGGAAGGGCATCCGGTTAAAAAATCTGTCAGAACCTAATTATAGCGACCCCATAAAATAATGGGACAAAGCTACAGCAAAAGAGAAGTTTCGATACAGGGGAAATCTCTATCTACTTCTTGATTTATTCAGACTGTTTTATCTCTACTTCATTTAAATATCTAATCAACCTTTCTCTCCCCCCCCCCACCTTGTCCTCCTCTTTTCCTATGATATTTATAATTTTCATTTTCATTTTTTCACCCTTTCCTTCTCCTTCTCCTTCTCCGTTTCTCTTTCCTTCTCTTTCATTCTCCATCACACCCTCTCATTCTCCCTATCTTTATCCCTCTCCCTCTTCCTCCTCTTCTCATTCTCCCTCCTCTCTTTCCTCCTCTCCCTCTCTTTCTTCCTCTCCTTCTTTCCTACTTCCTCCCCCTCTCCCTTTCCCTCTCCTTTTCCTACTTCCTCTCCTCCTTTTCTTGTCATTTTCCCTCTCTCTTTCTCTCTTTCCCTCTTTCTCTCCCTCTCCCTTTCCCTCTCCTTTTCCTACTTTCTCTCCTTCTCCTTCTCCTTCTCCTGTCCTTTTCCCTCTCCCTTTCCCTCTTCCTCTCTCACCTTCGTAGATACTCGGGATTCGGTTCTCGAAGTAGACGAGCGTGGGCAACTCTTCGATTCCATATTCCTTGGCTTCGGCGTCGTTGTCGATCTTGACGAATGGAACGCCGGCTTGTTCGCAGTCATCATCGATGTTCTCCAGTTCTCCGAGGATCTCGTGGTCCTCGGCATCGTCTTTGTCGTCTGGGAGAATGGGAAATTGAAAATTGATGAATTATAAGAGGAAAAAATGAGTTTATGTGAGAGAAATCGAACGTCGATGCCGGTGGATGGATATTATGGGAACATTTCCCCTCAGTTTCTAAAAAGCCAGTTTAACTATCAAGAATTGGAAAAAAACATATAAGTAGAAAGGAGTAAATTGTCATTCCTCTTATTTATTTATTAAGCCATGCTTGAGCTAGAGGTTTGTTTTTAGTTTAGTGTGTGTGTGTGTGTGTGTGTGTGTGTGTGTGTGTGTGTGTGTGTGTGTGTGTGTGTGTGTGTGTGTGTGTGTGTGTGTGTGTGTGTGTGTGTGTGTGCGTGAGCGTGTGTGTGTGCGTG